TACTCAAGTTGACTTCTTAGGATACATCATTTCTAACAAAGAGCTAATAATGGATTTGAAGAAAGTCCAGACTATCATGAATTTGAAAGATTTCAAGAATAGTAAGAGATATACAATATTTTTTGAATTTTGTTAAATACTATTAGATCTTCATCAAGAATTTTCTTCAAGTTGGAGCTTCACTTATACATTTGACTTATAAAGTCAAACTTGAGCGGAATAAAAAAGCCAAAACCTCATTTATGTTTTAAAAAAAGAATTTACTTTTGTACCAATCTTATATTGTGTTGACTTCTTTAAGATATTTTTATGAAAATAAATGCATTAGATTTTGCCTTAAATGCAATATTATCAAAAATGGATGCAAATAATAAATTCTATCCAATAGCTTTCTATTCCAAATTTTTTTTAGCAATTAAGATTAATTATGAGACTTACAACAAAGAACTCCTTGTAATCATGGATTCATTTCAAGAATAGCGTCATTATTTAGAAGGCGCCTCAAATCTAATCATTATGTATATAAATCACAAAAACCTCAAATACTTCATATTGAGAAAAATTTTGAATCATTTCTAAGCTCATTGGAGCATGTCTTTAATAAGATTTGATTTCAAGATCACTTATCAACCCAAAAAATAATAAGGTTTGTTGAAAATCCTTTATAGACGTTCTTATCTTATATCAAAAGAAAGAAATGCATCTTTTGATTAATAAATAATGATTTTCTTGAAGCCAAAGTACTTTTACCTTCGAGCAATAGAATCAACATTTACTATTGATTCAACTTTTGTCAAGCAAATTCAAACAAATATGTCATCTAATCTTCTTATCCATAATATCAAGAATAATTCTTCTAAGTTTCATGATATTTCTAAGTTTGAGTTTAAGAACAATTTACTCTATTTTAAAGAAAAATTATACATTTCAAAAGGTAAGACATGATTACATGTTTTTTAAATTCGTCATGACTTTTTACCAGTCAAATATTTTGGACACAACAAGACTTGGGAGCTAATATCGAGAGATTTTTGGTGGCTTCAAATATGGAAAGCAATTAAAGATTTTATATTATTATGTAATATTTTTTCAAGAACCAAAATTCCTCGCCATCAATTTTATGAACTTCTTCAGTCATTATTTATTCCAAAACAACCATGGTCTTCCATTTTCATAGATTTTATCATAGATCTTCTAGTCTCAAGTTTATAAGATTTTATATTTGTGGTAGTAGATTATTTTACTAAGATGATACATTTTGTACCATGTACAAAACCTATCACAAGTAAAAAAAAATGACTAAATATTTTTTTAATAACATTTATTGCTATTACGGATTACCTAAAGATGTTATATTGAATAGAAGGACTTAATTTATATTAAGATTTTGAAAAATCCTTTTCAAAATCTTAAAAGTGGATATAAATTTCTCTTTGGTTTTTCATCTTTAAATTGATGGAGAAATGGAATAAGTGAATCAAGTTTTAGAGCAATACTTGAGGTGTACCATCAACTATCATCAAGATGATTGGGTAATTCTTTTATCATTAGTAGAGTTTGTATACAATAATTTGATATATTCTTTTGCTCAACAAACACATTTTTTTATCAATTATGGTTTTCATCTATGACTTGATACTTTTGACTTTTAAAAAGTTAATAATCTTATAACGAAAGATTTGGCAAATTATTTATTAGAGCTGCATGCAACAATAAAGGCATAGTTAAAGAGAACTCAAGAATGACAAAAGTTTAATGCAAATGCCTGTTGCAAAGAATAACTAAAATTTAATAAATGTGATAAGATATGATTACTTTATTACATTATCAAGAATATTTGTCCTTGTGACAAGTTGGACTATGATAGGCTTGAAACTTTTTTTGTTAGTGAATAACTCAATTTTGTTCCTTATCAATTATATCTATTGGAATCTATGAAGATCTACCGCGTATTTGACATGTCTCTTTTTGAGCCATATAAGATAGTGAATATCTCAAGAAGAAGATAAATGCCACCTCCTCCTACAGAAGTGGATAATAATTAAGAATTCAAGGTGGAATAAGTCGTAGGTTGAAGGCGGCACTAAAATAGGTTGAAATATTTGGTTCATTGTCATAGATATGATATTAGTTAATGCACATGGAAGCCAAAAAAAATCTTGCAAATACAACAAAGAGAATTGAGGCTTCTCATCAACGACATCCATGAAAACTAAGATGAAGAATAGCAAATCTTTATTATAAAAGAAACAAGATCCAAAGAAGATAACATTCTATCTTCTATCCTTCTTTATAGCTTTTTTGTATTTGTGATATTGAGGAGATGGAGACTCAACAACCAATAGATTCAATTTAAGAGCTTTTACTTACTGATTTATTAAATAAGACATTACGATTGTCACAACCTTCAAGTCAATGTTATCAAGATGAAAATCTTCAAGAATGACATGTCCTTCCTCGAATAGATGGTAAAATACAACATATTTGGTATTACGACCTTAAAAAAAAAAAATGATATTTGGTGATTTTATTAGAAATATGAACAATACTTGACAATATTTCAAATTTTTTATTTGAAAGAAGTTACAAAGGCCTCAATAATGATAACATAACACGGTGGTCTTCCGCCTTGGTATGGAATATTATTAATGGTTGAAAAGACCAATCAACCATCTTCGAATAGAATAAAGTTCAGAGTACGTGGCAAATACAATTTGTTGCATCTTGGAATTCATCAACACATGATAACTACTCCTTGTGGAACTTGTTCCAAGAAAGGAAGGTAATATCACAAATATACATATATATTCTAGTAAATATCTATATGATTAGATAAAAATAGATAAAAATAGATTAATTCTATAATATCTTCTTAAAAAGCTTCTTAGAAGCTGCACAGATGTTGTTTTGACTTTACATGTGTTTGTAGTTGATTAGTATGTTAGAAACTTGGTCAACAAATTAACCACGTGTTGATAGCTTAGAGAATAAGCTAACTATATGGCATACATATAAAAAACTTGCCTTGTAAGTTAAGATACGTGTCTTGTAAAGTCAACATATTTTGGAGGTCATATAGGACATCACCATATAGTTCCTTGTTAAGAATATATATGAAGGCAAGAGTGAAGCCAACTTCACTCTTATTAATGCCTTTTTAGTTCTTAGTCTTGTTTGAAGACTTTCTAGTCTTTTTGTTTTTGACAATAGCCATTCTAGTTCAATATTATGTCATCTTTGAGTGATTTTTTAATTCTTTTTAGTAACACAAGAGTGTATTAAAGATTTTCTTTCTTCAAGATTCATATCCTTGATAGTTGAAAAGAATGAAGAAGGCTTCATTCTTATTACTATATATATGATCTAATTAGAAATTATTTGACAATATTTTATAAGACCTTTAACATGTGTTAACTTTGCAAGATACATGTCTTAACTTTGAAGGCAAGTTTTTTATATGTGTGCCACATAATTAACTTGTTCTACAAGCTACCAACACGTGTGACATGTGGCTAATTTATTGACCAAATTTCTAATCTATCAATCAATTACAAACATGTATAAGGTCAAAGTTGCCTCTATGAAGCTTTTAGGAAGCTATACTAGAAGATATTATGAAATTAATCTACTTTTACCTACTTCTATCTAATTGTATATGTAATTATTGAAATAAATATGTATATCCATAATACGCTCTTTTTAGTAATTGATTGCTTATATTGTTTGTAATAGGAAAGTATATTAAAGGTTTCTAATTTATTGTTGCTTGTCACTCTCGATATGTTTGTGTGCATACATGATTAAATAATCAATGTACTTACTTAGTCACTATCATCATACATTTGAAGCTGCAAATGGAATAGAAAGTGAAAATCAAGACATCAAAGAAGTGGATCTATACTGCCAATATACACATTATAGGGATGAAACTATATTGGCATTTTGTCTCTGCAAAAGCACAATATTTTACAACATGTGCACATTCAACACACAACTTGGAATAAACAATGATGGAAATGCCAAAGATGAAAATTCTCATTAAAAGCTAGAGAAGTTACAAAGATTTTGAATTACATGCAAAATCAAAACTAAGACTTTAATCACTTATTGCAAAAGCGAAACCAAAGATGAGCAAAAACAAGTGCTCACTATAAGATCATGAAGTATGTAAAGGAAATATTTTAAAGAGTACATTTGGCCAAAAAAAAAAAAAAAAAAAAAAAATGAATATAAGAACATAGTATTGACATATGAAAGTAAAGAATTCATTGCAATTTTTAAGATGCTTTGTATTTATGACGCTTTATATTGTTCTTGGTAATATACTTTAATGTTGTCAAGAAGGTCGTTCTATTTGTCAATGGACCTTAGTAGACAATCATTTTTGATGACATTGAGGTTTTAGCAGTTGAATTCTTTCTTTCGATTTCAAGTAGAGCATTTCAGTTGACTTCTTTCTAACATCCATTTCATGAGGTGCCCAAAATGTGAGGCAATATGTTGCACCAAAATTTGTGCAACACATACTTTGGGCTCCAATTGCAACTAAAAAAAAAAACAAGAAAGTTATTAACTTATCATGTTGAAGGGCAGATTTGCAATTATCACGAAAGAGGGATAGATTTGATATGAACAAGAATACAAGTGTATTCTTGATATTTCAGCAAATTTAAATAATATTTATGATATTTTTCCTTGTTTAAATTATTTGACAATTGATTTTTAGTATTCTTGTGGTGAAATTGAAATGTATTTAAAAAAATCTACATTTACAGAATATGACTTTAATTTTGAGTTAAAAGCTACATGACTTTCCAATTTTTCTAACTTTTTTATTTTTCAGTTTTAAATTCACCTATTCCCATTTTCGGGGTTTAAGAAAATCTTGTGCACTCCAAACCATTTTTAACCTTGGAAAAACGTCCCTTTAGGTAGCACCATTCTCAGATGAAAGCATTAACACCATCTTATCCACTGGCATGCAACCCACACTTGGATAGTTTCTGTCGAAGTTATTTTTGGATGATTATTGAGTGCAAATTTAAGTCACACCAGCCAATGCATTACATAATCGAGAGTCCAATAGTTGATTTTAGCTTCAAGCCAAAACGTATGGAGTACACTGAAAAAGCTTAAGGCTTAGCTTTTCACAGGATACATAAACCCACGATACTCACTACAAGTGATTTAACACTGATTCCTGACTATGATCACTGAATTCTTCAAAGAGTTTATAGCCACGGAACCTTTTAACATATGTATGTCTGTAAATATACTGCTCTTACAACTTGGAAGGCTTGGGATACCAGCCCCAGTCATCAGTCGAGATATACCGCGTCAATTGCTTCACGGATAAATAGTTCTCCAGACCCCTATATCACAAAACATAGGTTTAATATATCACCATAGTTAAAAATAAACAAAATGATAGAAATAGTCTGTTGGATAAGAATATCTGACTGCTATCAATAAAGCGAAATGCCAAAAATGGTCGACTGAAAGCTTGTGTACACAAATCGAGTGAAGCGTCGAACCCAAACTGGATCAACTTTTCTGATCAAACATAAACATAGAAGTCCTTACCATTCTCCCAACTCACGGCCAAAACCACTACGCTTGTTGCCACCCCAAGGAGCTTGACAGAAACAGGGTTGCGAACAATTTATCCATACGATACCTACTTCCAAGGCCTGATAATGACAATGTTGCAACGTTAACAAATAACATAATGTAGATCACACAAAATATCCTTACTTCAAACCATACCCCTTGTTGGAATTAGAACATACTAAAGCAGGTTACAGTCGTGTGAACTCTAAATCAACTTCCAAAACGCTACAAATGTGGGATCAATTGAACTCATTAGGACAAAATAACATATAAATACTAGAGTGCAGAAAAAACGGTAAAACATCAAGCAATAGCAACCGTAACACGTAATTCTAGCGATATGTGAAGAAATGCACCTCTGAAACACGCTTGCATCTGTCGTCATCCTTAGAAATGACAGCACCGGCTAGCCCATACCTAGCAATGAAAGTAACTCATAATGAGTACATAGAGATTCTTAAAGTTCAATGATACTAAAATCTCACGCAGCACACTGCCAAATTCACAAATAATGTCTCTAACGACACCCTCACATTGCAATCAAATATGTTGCTTGCAAAATAAACGAAGCATCATAATCAACTTATACTCACAGCAAGCACTATAAGAACGACTTAAATAACAGATAGACAATTGCAACAAGTCCACCACAGCTAATGAGACAGAGAGCTTACTGGGTGTCATTTGCCAATGCGAGAGCTTCCTCTTCCGTTTTAAAAGTGGACACAGCCAAGACTGGTCCAAACACCTCATCCGTCCAGATTTGCATGTGAGGTTTGACATTTGAAAGAACGGTAGGTGCTAGAAAGTATCCTGTGGTCAAATGCTGCAAACAACATACAGATAGCCCATAGGTCATGCACACAATGAAAAATCATACGCATAGAGTGTAGAGATGCATGAAAATTGAGAAGAAGATCAATGCGATTAATGCGAGACGGCCTAGCATTCTACGACTATTTATACGTTAATGTGGGTGTGTATGTGTTCAGGACGCCAAAAGACTCACATCTGGTCGCTTGCCACCACAGACAAGAGTGGCTCCCTCATCCAGAGCCACTTTCACAAATTTCTGCACCTTTTCATACTGATCATAAATATCACAACGTTGCAGATTAGTCAAAACCCCTCCACTCGTGCCAATTCCACACATTTCAGGCTTAAATCGGCAGTTTTCTTCTGTAATCCGGAAACACGTGGAAACATGAATGAACCAGCATCAGAAGGTGCTCTATGTCATACCTGACCCTCACTAACAAGTGGTCCCAATCGGCAGTCTTTTTCCAAAGGATCAGACACCTTGATGCTTGAAGCCCAAATGCCTAGCTTCTTTAGAAATTCATCTGCAATACCCTCCTGTCATAAGAAGAAAATGTCTTCAGTAAGAATAAACTTGACTTCAAATAGAGGTGTGAAGTAGATTCTAAACAGATATGACCTAAATTCCTATTCGGTAAAACACTGCTACGGCCAAAACAACGGCCAAAACATGTCTACAACCCAGCGCCAAAGCAAGGCGATAAAACCGAATAAAGATAAAAATAAATTTCAACATGAAGAAATAAAATAATATTTAGAAATAGACACGCAAACGATGCACCTCCTACAACTAATAACGAAAAGTAATTTCATGTCATAAAATCCACCTGCAGTAACAGTCGTGACGTTGCACTGCAGATCTGGCCGTTTGTCCAGAACGCTCCAAACATAGCCCATTCAACAGCTGCGCATTCCACCGAAATGAGCTATAAGTACAATATGAAAGGTCTTAAACAACACTCGAGGCGATTTAAAATCTTACAGTAGTCATTAACAGAAAAAGTAAAAAACGGTGGAATTTGTCGGCACCTTTTTCAACATCAGCATCATCAAAAACTATGATGGGGCTCTTTCCACCCAATTCCAAAGTAACCGGCTGCACAATGAGCAAGATCAAAATTGAAATTGATTAAGCATTATGATAGGGTTGGCATATTTTCAATAAGCACAATAAATCAATTAAAACTCTACAACTATTCTAAAAGCTTCAATCTCCCACACTGTAAAATGCATCTAGTCATTTGATATTTACAATGAGCGATCCGCTATAGTACAGTGCTTCCTTCATAATTCGATAACATAAAACCCAGATATCATGAATTGCATTTCACTTGATCAAGTGGAAACAAGCAGCACAAGCCGAGAAAACAACCTTGATGAGCTGTGATGCCGCGCTCATGACTGACCTGCCAGTGGCCGTACTTCCAGTGAAGGCTATCTGTGCTCATAAGACCAGGTGGTAGGTGAGAGTTTGCTCCAAAAACATCACAGCAGTTAAATTCTAACGGTTCTTATAAAGAATTGCTAATCTAGAACACAAGAGAACGTGGCCTGAGGGTTTATCACTAACGCACCTTATCTACACCTGAATGTGAGGCCAAGGGTGCTCCAGCCTCATGTCCATATCCAGTGACCACATTCAAGACACCTCGTGGAAGTCCAACATCCTTCGCTATACCTGCTAACTCCAAGCAGGTGCTGCAATAAACGTTCATCACCACATATAATAACTGTCACTCTCATCTTGAAATGAGACTTCAGGATAGTAATTCACACTGTAAAGCGCATAGGATTTGAAACCAAATATCCACCCCATGTCCATTGGGTGAAAAAAAAAATCTTGGCCAAAAGGATCGGCATGGTACACTCGCTCACACTTAAAACCACCGATTAACCCTACAACAGTTGACTAATAGACTATGTCTTCATTCACATCATACAGGTGGACCGTTGAAGAGAAAAGATTGAGCGTATTACACAAGCTTGACAAGGTATATTTAGTTCCTACAAGACAAAGTATGCTGGTATACTTGACTTACACAGAGGCAAGCTCGGATGGTTTCAATATTGCAGTACACCCAGCTGCAAGCGCGGCAGCAACTTTCCATGTAGCCATAAGCATAGGGTAATTCCTGAAAACCATTACGATGAAAATTAAATTATTCCGGTAAAGATAACCTCTCCAAGTCAAACATTTGGAGTGGTTATGGCAAATGTCATGCAAGTCGGTACCAGGGAGTGATGAGACCAACAACTCCTATGGCCTCTCGCAAGATGTTGCACTTGAACTGTTCCATGGGGAGTTCGAGAGGGGCATACTGTCTCTCGTCTAATTTCTCCGCCAGGTCTGCATAGTATTCAAAACAACCTGAAACATCATCCTGGAATCATTCAAACAGCACCAAAGCTGCACCAATCAGTACTTGAGAACTAAATCCCTTCTCTTGCGATTTTCCGTTTAGACAAGTGTTCTCATATTATCGAGAAACCTATCGACGTATCCAGGGAATCAAGAGCCGGAAACAGGTATCTTGCGTGTATAAGCGCATGGTCGATATTTATATTCAGGTTTTTTTAATTCAATGTCAAGCACGCGGTCCAACTAGATAATTCGGCCCTATAATCATCATACTCAACAATTCTTTCACTTAACAACCTTGTATTCAAACTTGAATTTATCACGCAGCAAGAAAGAGAATAATTATTGTTCGTACCTCTTTCAAATATAGAGGCGTCAAAGGGGGAAAAATTGAGAGCTGTGAAAACATACCATATCCCATTCAGCTTCATCGATGGGCTTGCCACAATCGATGGACTCAAGCTTTGCAAGCTCTGACTTCCTCTCAGCCACCTATCAGAACAAAAAACAATCTCTATGAGAATCACGTCGCTAACTTACACGTTAAAGGTAACAATGACCGTCAGATAAATAGATTCGATCTCCATACATCCGGAGGCTCACAAAGTCTCAAGTCCTACCCTTTTGGCAATCGCTCGAAGGAATGTAGCCCGGTGTTTCCCACCAGCTTTAGCCCAATCCTTCCCCTTGTTGCGATAAAAAGCTTCCTTCGCCGCCTTAACTGCTGCATCGACATCTTCCGACGTCGCAGCCGGAATATCCCCTGCGTTACAACCCCAATTAGCCAAATCCTAACATACAATACACAGCACATGACACCCATTAACACTCTCAAGATACTGTATCCATCCTTAAATCCAACATAACCGTCCCAATTGGACCAGATCCAAGCTACAATCAACCAAGTCCGACCCTATCCTCAGTCCAACACCCTCCGATCCGCCTAATGCTTCAAAGTTTCTCCCAGCCTCCCCGCTACCCAATTCTACAATCAGAAATTGCACAGCATGCTCACTCCACTCCACTCCACACAATGCGCTGAGACTCAAGCCCATCCCAACACAAAAAAAAAAAAAAAAAAAAAAAAAAAAAAAAACATCCATTAACCGCAGCACCCAACTCTCAAAACAGGATCGAGGATATTTCACCCAAGCTTCAACCTAGCATCGGGGAGGGGGAGATCCACACATACCCACGGTCTCTTCCGTGGTAGGGTTTACGATCGGGATGCGCTTGCCGAGGACAGGGTCCACCCACTCGCCATCAATGAATAGCCCACGCCTGGGCACATCAACGCCGGCGTGAAGACCCATGTCGCCAAATTGCACAACCAAGGCTCTGATCCGCTCACCAACTCTCCCAGGGGTGAGAAGCGATGGACCTGAGACAGGAATCGTGCAGCTGAAGCGGGAGTAGCGTGGATGCGAGCAACTGGAAAGTGGCAGGCGCAACAGCAGCGACGCTACCATCACTCCTTGAAGCGAGACAAATGGCCCGGCGGCCGCGAAGGACGTCCCTCTTTCGTTACCGCCATCGTCGACGCTTCGTCGTCGTCGTCTCCTTATCGTTCTGATGTCGTTGTTATGTCCTTCATCGTTGCCGTATCGTCAACTTTGTTGTTTCGTTCGTTGTCCTCGTAGGGGACATGAGATTCATGTGCGTTTCGGATGTCGTTTCTCATGGGCTGGCGAGTCACAAGACTCGATGGATTGTGCTCACAAGGGCCTGGCTCGAAGTGTGAGGACTTTATTCTTCTTATCTAGGATCTCCACGTTCTAAAGCATCGCATTCTGTGTGAGAACCTGTTATTAGAGGATAAACATGAAACACGCACACACACATATATACATACATACATACATACATAGAGAGTTATTATAAAGAGTTATAGTTATTGGTCCTCTTATTCTTATTATTTGTCCATGTTGCTGCTTGTTTAAAAAAACTAAGGTAAATGGTACTTACCTATTGCAATTGCATTCAATTTTGTGTGGTCTTTTACAAGACAGAGTGATACTTAAGAAATGAAATACTTGCAAAAAAATAAAAAAATAAAAAAATCAGCATAGCAGGATCAACTATTTTAAAATGATGGTAGAGTTATATGTGTATTAATATACATACAAATATAAATTGAAATAAATATGTAATTTAAATTTATATTTATATTTTTTACCAAAATATAATTATACCATAACCAATTTTGATTTATCAAAGAAAAGCATAAAATTTATTCTAATTATAAACCATACAATTATTTACCACTCAAAACATGTTTTGTAGAATATAAGCATATAATATGAGGTGAAAAAAATTGATGAATATATTTCACTATAGAAATAAAGGACACATTAATTGGCACGCACATGTTTTATTAGTTTAATGATGCAAAATTTATAAATGTAACATATTTATTCAATTTTATGTATAAAAAAATGTCCTTTGTTAAATTTCATATTTAATAGAAAAATTTAATATTTATTAGAAGGATCATGTTTAAATTAGTAATTTTTAAATTAAAAACTATCCTATAAATTTCTATAAAATGAATATATTATATGTTTTTATAATAAAACATATAAGGTTCTAGTTTAAAATGAAAAATACTCTAATTTGATTTGAATACATTTAAAATAATAATTATACATACAATCGAAGATATATATATATATATATATATATATTAAATATTATGTATTATTATATTATAAAATAATATAAAAAATAAAATTTGATATTATCAAAAAGACTATTACAATCCTAAATATTAAAGAATACACAAGTTAAAAGTATAAATTCTACAAAAAATATAAGAATATATACATAATAGAATATATAAAGTAAGATGTTTGTCAGTTCTATATCTTATTATTTATATGTAGTAGATTCAACTTGAGATGCATTACAATTGGCCATTGCAAGTTCTTAACTTAATAAATCTATTATCTTGTAATAATTTCATACCAGATCCTATTTACCAACCATTGGTTGTTTTTAATTGGCTTATTAATAATAAAATATATAAACTTTATATATTAAAATAAGATATTTTCTTATCTTTATCTTATACTTCAAATCTATACATAATAACAAGATGATTTTTTATCCACATCTCAAAATTCAATATTCTTATATACTACACAATTTAAGTTACCACATTATCTAAAATATATTTATTTAGCCTTTAATAACTAATAACTTATTATAATAGAGACTATTCATTCTTTTACATTTATTTCTTCTATCTATTTACTTTAATACTTCAATTTTGTAAGTGGTCTAAGGCTTTTAAGTGTATTATATTTATCAATCTTACATTCTTATTTTTTATAAGTATTTTTGTAAGAAAAATTGTTACATTGACTTCTATTGTACAATACATCATACTTATTATTTCTTCTTTAATTTTTTCTATTTTAAAGTGGTCTTAAATATCAATATATTTTGTATAAAAATAGTGCTTTAGATTCTTTGTAAATAGAAGGTATTCTTAGTTGTTACACTTTATTTGAGTTGTCTTCAATTATATAAATTTAATGTCTTTTGTGAATTATCTTATTAAATAAATTTACATTGTAGAATAACTTCCTACCATGGTTGATCTTCTAATGATTGGTTTCTTTTTATAATTCCAAAAAATAATTTCTATTCCAATACAAAATACATATCCAATGCTTCATCTTTTATCATTTGTATTTTTAGTCTAATACACATTATAATAATCTTGTAAAATATTTTTTTACTACCAAAATATAATTTGAGGTCTCATCTACCTTTTAAATACTTCTTTATTTTATTTACAACCATTCAATGTGTAGAAAAAGCTTTAAATAGGTATTGACTCACAGTATTTACTACATGTGCAAGATCTACTCTTATTGTTAACATTAAGTATATAATTGAGCCAATTACACTCTTAAATAGAACACCTTCCATTTCATCTTCAACTTATGTAAATTCTTCTTTAGATAGATTTATTAACTATAATTTGGCTTGAAGTAAAGTACCAATAGTCTTGCACTCTTTCATTTTTGAAGTGTTTTAATACTTCTTTAATATATTTATTTTGACTCATTGTTATAGTACATTCTATACAATCTTGAATAAATATAAAATCAATATAATAATAAAACTCTCATAGGTCATTTATTTCATACTTTTTCTCTAATATCTTATCACAAATATCAACATTAGCATTAATAATAAAGATAATATGAAACATGAGTGAATTCTCTTAAAGATCTAAAACTCTTTTAATTTATAGCAACATAATCCCATCAAAAAGTAAGACAAAATGGATAAGAAAAAAACTAAATAAAGCTAAACAAAAAAAAAAATATGAAAGACAAAAAAAATCAAAAGAAAATAGCATAGAACAAAATAGAATAGAAAATGCCATTCAAATTTTATTGAGAGAAAGAACCTCAAGCCATACCTAACCAAATGTCCTTAATGGCCTTGATCAATCTTATTTATATTTTTTCTAATTATTCTAAAACTTTCTAGTATGTTCTTAATAGTGGACTCTATTTAGATAACTACCTTTAGTTCTTTTAAAATGTTCTATGGTAGGCTCCAAATGGACTACCAACGCAACCACAATTCTAAAAACTTTTGGAAACTTCTTAAAAAAATGGCCTTAATTATCTACGTCTATGAGTCAATAATATGATTATCTTATCCATGCTTTATTACAATTAATCTCCTTCTAATAATATGGAATGTCCTTATTTTTCTTTCAATGGTACCTCTAAATTATTTCTTGATAATGGATGAGATTTTGTACAAGTTCTCACATTCCATTGTGGGATAGCCTTTCTAAAGAACCTTGTATTGTAGTTACAGACATCCATTGCCATGACAAAGATAGTAATATTCTAAAATATAATCTACTTCATATTCTTATTGGTCATAAATCACAATCGATAGTGGTGGTAATTGGTGTTAGTCCAAGAAGCACCTTGATTTAGTATAAAACTCCTTAAGCTGCAAAACATGAAAGAATAGATAGATCCAAATATATGGTAGAAGCTCAAGATGGTATGCAACATCAAAAATCATTGCAGAAATGCAAAAAGGTTCAAACAATGTGGGTACTAGCTTATGAACTTAGATTGATGTAGTAAGTAGAAAGTTGGCATTAGAGAATATTACTTGATCACCTTTTCAAAAGGTCTTATGTTGCCAGTGGTTATCTGTATACTACTTCTTTTGAAGCTATATAAAAAGGAGGTAATGTTGTGCTTCCTACAAGGTACTTATAAGCCATTTTATAAACTCTTTCATTATTGGATTGTTGGTATTGATGATACAATGAAGAGTTGTTGGCATAATAGAATGCTGACCAATGTTAAAGAAGAATGGTGAATGATCGATACTTGCTTAAATATTATTATTGTAAATAAATTCTAAGAGCATCAAATATTTATTTCAATTATTATAGTGAATCGCTACAAATGCGCATAGCATATCTTCCAAGGTCTGATTTGTACGCTCTGTTTATCCATCCATTTGAGGATAGAAGACTATAGATATAGCAAGTTGAGTATCTAATGGCTTAAATAAGGCTTGACAAAAACTCACTATAAAGCACGAATCTTGATCTAAAACAATGATATAAGGCAATCCATATTTACAAAAGATAGTGTCAAAGAAGACCTGTACAAGTGTTATGGCATGAATATCAGATCACATGACAACCAAATAAAGTTGCTTCAAGAGTCAATCGACAAAGAAAGCAATTGTGGTGTGATTATGAAACATTGTCAAGGGCATGAACTAAAAGATGATGCGTAAACCAATGAAATCCATATCAAAGAAAAAGTGACAAAATTAAAAAAATTAAAAAATAAAAATAAAAATAAAAATATATATATATATATATATATATATATATATATATTAAAAAAACTTAAAAAGGCTTATTGCCAAAAGATAAGAAAACTTGAGACTCTTGAAACTAGACTAGAAACAAGAAAGGAATTGATAAGAGTGAAGAAGGCTTCACTCTTGTCTCTATATATACTATCTAACTAAAGACTATGTGGTGATGTTCTATAGAACCTCCTATATTTTTTGACTTTGTAGAACACATGCCTTGACTTACAAGACAAGTTTTTTTACGTGTGGGCGACATAGTTAGCTTGATCTTTAAGTTGACAACATGTTTGGCTTATGGCCAACTTTTTGACTATATTTCTAATCCAAAAAGTCAATTAAAGATACTAATAAAGTCAAAGCAATATCTATAAAGCTTCTAAGAAGCTTCCATATAAGATATTATAGAATTAACTTACTTCTATCTACTTCTACTTACTTCTACCTATTTATATAAGTAACTACTAGCTTACATGCATATATTCATGACATTACCCTCCTTTCTAGGAATGAGTTTCACGAAGAGCAGTCATCATATGTTGAAAAAATCTATAATGCAACAAATTGTATTTGTTACATACTTAAATCTTTGTTCTCTTTGAAGATAGTTGATAGGGCCTCTCAACTATTGATAGTATCTCATACCAGAGCGTAAAGACCACCCTATTATTTGATGATTATTGAGGCCTTCATAACTTCTTTCAAATAAAATACTTGAAACACCA